TTGATTCATCTTGTGTATCTTAGGTGTACTCTTCAGTATTGAGGTAACCACCACATATTTTGCTGTGCGTAATTATTGGCGTGGCTTCTTTGCGGCTGTTTGTGGCGCGACGGTGTTTCGCCTATTAGCGGTGTGGTTTCACAATGCAGACACGGTGCGCGCGATATTCCTTACAAACTTCACCACCGAATTCCCGTTCGATCCGCAGGAATTNATTTGTTTGTTTTTGTTTTTTTGATTCATCTTGTGTATCTTAGGTGTACTCTTCAGTATTGAGGTAACCACCACATATTTTGCTGTGCGTAATTATTGGCGTGGCTTCTTTGCGGCTGTTTGTGGCGCGACGGTGTTTCGCCTATTAGCGGTGTGGTTTCACAATGCAGACACGGTGCGCGCGATATTCCTTACAAACTTCACCACCGAATTCCCGTTCGATCCGCAGGAATTATTCGTGTTTGCGTTGATGGGGTAAGTGGCGACATATTTACTAGATACCTGAGCAAAAGTATAAAAGGTAATTAAGGGATTACCTTAAAGCCGAAACTAGTAGATATTTCGAGTTTCCATATTTTTTTTTTCAAATAAAATGTCTGTTTGTTCAAACGGTGAAGTCGCAACCACAACGGTTTACCTAAATTCGAAAACTCGTCAAAGAAACTCGTCAAAATTTGAAAAAAAAAATGCCTTTTTAGAACTCCCTAATTCTATTTTTTTGAAGGCATAGCATTCCGTGCTCTATCCTTATTTCTATGTGAAGTGGTCATAATTTCACCTTCCTTATTAACAAAAAAAAAAAAAACACAAAAATTTAGTGTATTTTGATATATTGCTGGTCCCTCTGTTTATTTTATTTTTAAATGTAATTCCTCTATGTATTCATAAACCAACCAAACTTTTGTAAAGTAAGTTAACAATGAAATAATAAAAAAAGTTTATATAATACAGTGGTCGAAAAAAATTCAGTCGCTCCAATTATTTTTATTTATTTTTTTTTTTTAATTTGAGTTATTTTTTTTTTAATATAATTAATTATTTAACAAATATTTGCAATATTTGAAAAAAAATCTAGAAACTTTCGTAAAAATTTCGAGCTTTTTAACTCGATTTTCTAGAAAGATTTTAAGTCTGCCGCTTTGTAGCCCACTCAATTCCTTATGAAAAAAAATTATGTTTATTCGTTATATGAAAGCAAATGCGACAAACAAAATTCTAAAAAATCAACGGTAATTTTCGGTGATTTGAAACGTTATTAACCTAGAATTGAACGTGCTGAAATTCCCCACAAAAAACGGTCCCTTCCCCACGCAAACTGAAAATCCCCGCAAATCGGGGAATTCCTCACGTGTTGGCTTCCCTGGAAAGCACCTAATGTCTTCTCCTCTCTATGCGACGTGGTCCACGTTGCTGTGACATATAAAATAATGGGCATGATGAAAGAATTGTAGAGCGTGATTTTTGTTCGTCGAGATAGGGCTCTGCTTTACAATTAATTTCCGGCAACGGTTGTGCGTTGGGCGGAGCAAACATCTCTCATGTTGGACAAGTGCTTCCATTTGCCATTAGCCAGTAAGATATCTTCTAACGATATTTACTTCGTGCCTTATAAGGTGAAGGAGTTCTTTTTTCTCTTTGGAGTTCTGCTTTCTTCCTTATTTACCCACTATTGTTGCGCTTCATTATCCATCCCTTTATAAAGTATTAAGTATTGAATGCATCTCCACACCAATTTTGAGGTGAATTTGGGCTATCATAGCGAGAAGCGCAATCCTACTATCACTAGACGCGTTGGTTAGTTTCCCCGCTCTACATACCACCTTAGACATAGTTCAATTGCATACTCCTAAGTCCCCTTTCAGACACGTCAAGTCTTGAAAGCAATTTTTTTCGCATTCTCTTTTGTGTTTTCTATTTGCTTCCACACGCGTCAACTTTAATTGAATTCAAGTCCTTGGTTCTTTAAATGGGAAGCAACGAAAAGATCAAAAGAGACAAGAAAACTTGAAACGAATTGACGGTACGGAGGTATCTGTGCTCTTCCCCTCTCTTCTCACCTCCTTAGCCTACGAACGAGCAGACTTGAAAGCAAGACTTGACGTGTCTGAAAGGGGACTAAGCTTGAAAGAGAGAGCTTATGGTCAAAATGATCCTTGCGCCGACATTAGTTAGTTCAATTTGTGTTGTCCTCTCTGCACTGGTGATGCCCACGCAGACAAGTCGTTGGTGTATTTCTGAACTTGACCTACGAGGAATTCATATTTATTTTTGAAAATTAGCCAGTTCCTAGATGAAATTAGCGCACTGCGTAGAGAATTTCTAGCCTTATTATATTAAGTAATGAGCCTTAACACTAAATACTGAGAGTCTAAATCAACAAGAATAGCCTAATTTTACCCTTATATTGCATTTAAATCTAAATCAATTAAATCTGACTGTATCACATTCTCATTTACTCGAAATTTCTTATCATCACCTAGCGTTGTCTCCGGCATTGGTGGAGCTGCCTACGTTTGGGTGCATCGCCGTTATGTACTCTTCATGCGTTCCAACAAGAAGATGAACAAATTCTTGCAGAAAAAGTAAGTGCCAATTCTCACCAGAAGCTTTGTAACGTCACCTGAACTTTGTTTTCCTCCATCTACTGTCTAGTCGGTTTCTCTATCCGGGCTTTCTGGCGCTGCTCGTTTCTACTCTCTCATTTCCGCTAGGCACCGGCCAGTTCATCGCTGGCGAACTGAGCACACACGAACAAGTTACACAGTTGTTTAGTAATTTCACATGGTCACGCGACGATCTCACTGTGGAGCAGGCGGCCATTGTTACACATTGGGTTACTAGTTACACCAATATATTCATCAATCTCTCCATCTATATTGTGTTCACCGTAAGTACAGTGTCAACGGTACGTTAACATAAAAGAAAATACGCTTAATAAATTGCTTCTCCCCTTTTACAGTTTTTCATTTCCATCATCGCCTCCACCATACCAGTGCCTTCGGGTATTTTTATACCCGTTTTCAAAATTGGCGCCAGTTGGGACGTCTCATTGGCGAAAGTATGCATTTGTGGTTTCCGCACGGCGTGCGCTACGGCGGTCGTCTATCGCCCATCATACCCGGCGGTTATGCCGTTGTAGGTGCGGCAGCATTTTCCGGCGCCGTGACGCATACCGTTTCGGTAGCGGTAATCATTTTCGAGATGACCGGCCAGATAACACACGTTGTACCGGTGATGATCGCAGTGTTAATAGCGAACGCCATTGCAGCCCTTCTACAACCGTCCATGTACGACAGTATTATATTGATTAAGAAACTGCCGTATCTGCCCGATCTGCTGCCATCCAGTTCAGCGATGTACAGCATCTATGTGGAGGATTTTATGGTACGAGATGTGAAATACATCTGGCATGGCATTTCGTATCAAAAACTCAAGGAGGTGCTGAAGGCGAACAAAACGCTCCGATCTCTACCGCTGGTCGATAGTCACGAGAATATGATACTGCTCGGTTCCGTACAACGTTATGAATTGATTAAAATGATTGAAAAACATATTGGACGTGAGAAACGCATGGAGGTGGCACAAAAGTGGCAAAAGGAAGCGGAAGAACGGTAAGTACGAAATTTTTGGGTGAAACTAGTTTGTGCCGAGAAAAATGTAATTTTTTCTCACCCCATCCCCCTTCTAGCGCCCGCGAAGAAGAGAAGAAGAAACAAGAGGCTGAATTGAAAATACGTCGTCCTTCTCGCTTCGAAGTATTACCCGCTCCCGACATACTTAGTTTGCGGCAAATTGCCAACGATGAAATGTTGCCGCCCAAACAACGCCAAGAATCGCTCAATAATAATTTGGCACCACGAAAATCCATTTTGAAAAAGACAAACTCCTTTAATTTAAAAACATTCGCACCTACCTCACCGCACAGCCCTAACATTACCCCATACACCACCATCACGGGCACCGAGCATCGCATTCGTTCCGCCTTTGAGGCGATCTTCCGTAAATCGAATACTCTGCAGGATGTACACCCGGATCCGGATGCTGGCAGCATATCGCCGGCTGTGAGCGCCAATGAGGTGCCGCATGTACAGCGCGCGCCCAGCATCTCGAAGAAAGTTCAATTGGTATGTAGATTTTGAGGAAATGCTTTTCCAATAATTCGGTACAAAAATTTTGTGCACGCCACTAGTGTGGAATGTGTTTTTTCATGTTTGTTGCTTGTTATTGCTGTTGGTTTTGTTTTGTTTTATGTTCATCATTTGTGATTTGTCGATTTTGAAATTTTGTTTCTGCATGGATTTAAACGAAGCTGTTTAAATTATATTTGTCTGGTATTTACTTTTTCTATGCAAGCAAGCACAAAATACTGTGGAGTCTACAGAACAAGATCGAAAGGTAAAAATTCTCACCAACTAAATTTATTTCATGACTAAAACACCCCTTATACATATAAGTTATTGATTTCTTTTTCTGCTTTCCAATTTCTAGAGACTAGGGACTGTAAACAAAAGTTATTTATAAATTATGAAATCAAAATAATCAAAATCTGTTTTATTGTTGAATATGATTTCTTTATGAGTTAAAAAGAAATATCTTCTATTATTTTGAGCAAGGGTTTTTGAGACGTGTAATTTTTATATTTCCAGCATTGATATTATAATGAAATACTTCATGATTAAAGGCTTTAACGAGATTTTTTTCGGAACTGTTTAGCATTTTTCGGAACTTTTCGGTATTGTTCGTGTTTTCTGAAAACATTGCTTTATTTTTTTCTCGATTTTTAAAAAATCCCTTTGATCACCTTTTTTATATTTTTCGGAACATCTCAAGTTTTATTTTCAAAGGTCTTTCGGTATTTAAAATTTTAAATGACTTACATTTTGTTGATATGGAAATGAAGTGATTCGTGATTTTTCGGATTTTTTCGAGACTTCAAAACATCGAGACTTTTTCGGACCTGTTCAGGATGCTTTCGGAACTGTTCGGGATTCTTCGTGTTTGCTCGGAAAACTTTGTGACCCCTTGTTAATTTTTTTTTTTGGTCTTTCAGTATTATTTTGAGTTTTTCGACAATTTTAGGAGTACTTCGTAAAATATATTTTGGGATTTTTGTGGGGATTTACCGAAGATTTCCAGATTTTCTGATTGTGAAATAAAAATATTTGTGATTTATGGGGGTTTGTTGGGGCTTTATGGAGATTTATTTCGGGACGCTTCGCGATTTTTACGGAACCGCTCAAGAACTTTTTTTAATTTTTTCGCGAGTTGTAGAGAGCTTTTGGGAGCTTAAAGCTTTTTTCGAGAGATTTCCCTGGAAGACTTTTCGAGGTTTTTCGGAATACTTGATACTATATTTCTATCCTTCTGGTAATGTAATTTTAAATACTTAAATTATTTGTTTTGCTCTCCAATTAAGCTCTTTAGTTCAGTTGTTTCGGTTAAAGCATACTTTTGCAATTCATTTTTTCTTAACTTTAAATAATGTTTTTATTACAAGCCAACGCCTCCGAGCTCGCCGGATAGCATAAAAAACAATAAATTTGTAAGTAAATGGAAAATGTAAATAAACTTTGTATTTCAAGACTTTTGTTTTTTGTTCTTTAAAAAGTCTCAAATCGCACCTAATTCACCGGTATTAAAAAAGAAAAACAAGAAACCGAATCATGTTGTAAGTACTAAATAAATAAAGTAAAATTGAAGAGTTTTTTTTAGAAAGGGATCTAAGTGGGTTTTGAGAAACATTAGTAATTATTAACTTGATAGGTACTTACTAAAAAAGTGGCCTATAAATGTAAAATATTTGTTCAAACTAAATACTGAAACTTTCGTATAAAAACAGTCCACTTATTTTCCTTCTGTGCAATTTTCCTAAAATTCTTTTTAATTTCAATTAGGCTAAAGTGATAATGATCTTCCATTGAATTTTCCTTTCGGACATATAACCTTTATTCTTTTGTATTGTATCTTTTGCTTTTAATAAACATTTTTCTACAAGCCTACACCTTCAAGTTCATTGGAAAGCATGAAAAGCAACAGATTTGTAAGTAATTAAAAAAAAAAATTACAAAAATTATATTTTGAAATAATTTTTTTTTGTGCTTCCGAAAGTTTCAACTCGCCCCCAACTCGCCGATACTAACAAAGAAACACACTAAACTGAATAATGTTGTAAGTAACAGAACAAATTGGAAGAGTTGTTGCACAAGGGTTATACATACATTAGGGATGTTAATTTTTCAGCTTTTTCCGATCCCGGGATTTAGATATTCATTACTTTTCCACAACTTAAATCAAAAAAATTGCTTCTATATTGTTTGAGAAGCTCTCCTACTATAAAATAAATAATAAATATTTATTTTAAAGGACTTTGTAATTTCAAAGGTATGATTAATTCCTAAAATTATTAAAAAAGTTCAATGCAATATAGAATAAAAATATGGATACCAAATGCAAGAAGACATTTCTTTAGAACTCAAAAAAATACAAATTTTTGGATTAACAACAAGGACGAATAGGTAATTTTTTAAAGTTAGAAGGACGAAATTCGTGGATGTTATCGAGTTTATATAAGTTCTTAACCTATAATTTTTTCAAATTCAAATATTGCGAAATTTCAAGGATAAATTTTAAAAGGACATTTTCAATACTTACCAGTCCTTCCTCACCAAAAACTTTAATCTGTTTAAATTCCAAAGGATCTCCTCTTTAATTTGATACCATAGTTCTTCTCTAAGCACATTTCTCTAAATTTTTTGAATAATTTTTTAATTACTGACGTCAGAGTGAAAAACTAAAAACGAAATTTTACTATATTTGGCCCAGGGTTTCGCGAATATATTGATTTTTATGTGTGAAATTTACTATCGCACGGTGTTATATGTATAATGCGCTAGACGTTTATAAAAAAATATTAATTATTAAATGAAAAAAGAAATGTAGCCAATACTGCTCAAGAAAAGGAGTTTCTCTTATTGCCATTAGTGCAAATTACAAATCCCGAAAATCCCAGAATTATTTGCCAAGAATCCCGTGGTTTTTGAGACTTTAAAAAGGTCGGGATCCCCGGGTTTAAGATTCCTAACATACATACTACATAAACTCTCCATACAATTCATGTTTAAAATAAACTTCCTTTATTAACAATCATCCATAAAAATATTTACTTGAAATAAGCGTCCACGAAGCTTAAGTTCATCACCCGTCCATGCCAAAGTTAGAACAAAATTAGCCAATACAAGATGGGATCAATCTATGCTGCCAGCACCACCAAAAAAAGGTATACTACGAAAGTCACATTCAACCACGGATTGTTCGAATGCCAAAGCAAATGCTGCTATTAGATGGAATACTTTCATGGAAAATACCCAGGCTGCATTGAATTCGAGTGAACCGAAAGTAAAGAAAGAAATTGGTTCTTACTCTTTACACGAAATATTTAGCTATTGCCGGATATCATACCCGCATTATGGAGCTAATTGATATTCATAAGTACATAAGTATTTATATAGCTCGATAAAGGTAAAGCTTAGTAGTAATTTTTAAAGCACACAAAATCATCAAATTTGATTTACCCAAGTGTTTTCTTCATGCTTTCTTTTTGTGTTGATGTCTTTGGTTTTACACACCTAAAATATGTACATAGTTATACGATATTTAGTAGTTAACCTAAACTATAGCGGACATCTCTTTGTGGAACATTTCAAACCCCTAACTACTATCAGAACCGGAAATTTCCTCAAAATCTTAATTACTTACATGGGTAAAATGTTTTACAATTCTGGTCATCGAATATAAATATTTTGGAGATAAAACAAATTGTATTAGTAAGGCGGGCAGCGGAGCTTTGCACAATATGGTCTGCCGTAAGTAAGCATGCCTACCCTAAAGTTTAAGTGTTCTGCTCAGTCCACAAGAAATGTGGCCCTGCCTTATGCGCCAACTACCGCGCGATCAGCTTTCTAAGTGTCGGCTATAAGTAATTTTTGAGCGTGTTTTGTAAAAAGCGAAAGCCAGCCAATTGATTGAGCTTTATCAGTGTGACTTTATACCTAGTAAATCCACCACAGCTTCGTAAGAAATGGAAGGACCTCTACTACTAATAAGCTGACCTACTTAACTGATGCTGGAGCAGATAATAGGTCGTATGAATAAAAACTAAGCAACTGCTTTTTCTTAAGATTTCAAACCATTTACTTGAATTTATATGATTTTTTATGTATATATTAGGGTGGGTCCTAAAACCAATTGAAAGATTTTGTTTAGGTCTCTCTCACTCACGGTCACAGATATCACATACAAAAATTTGGTTCTGATTGGAGACGGTTAAGGCGTGTCGCACAGGGGCCAAAGTCCAGATTCCTCTATAGAGACTCAAAAAATTAAAATTATTATTTTTTTCATCTAATACCCAAAATCGATTCTACCATAATCGCAGATATCACATATAAATTTTGGTCCCGATTGGAGTCGGTTAAGACGTCTTCAAAGGGTAATTAGAACTTTGACCCCTGTGCGCCACGCCTTAACCGACGCCTATCGAGGCCAAAATTTAAATGCGACAGCTTTCACCGTAGTAGAATGGATTTTGGTATTAGATGAAAAAAAAAAAAATTTATTTTAATATTTTTTGAGTCTCCAGTTTGAGTTGAGTACCCAAGTTTTGCAAAAATCGAAGTGATCTTAATTATTTAATTTTTTTATTTAGGGAAATATATTTCGAATCTCAATTCCATCGAAAAAAGTAAATTTTTTCCAATATAGTTATTACACTGAGCTTTTCACTTTTATGAAAACACACAGTTGAACAGAAAAAAATAAAAGAAATGCGGTAAGGAATAATAAAAAAAAATTGTTTCAAAATAACTGTTTTTACAAAGAAAGGTGATATTTACAAAAAAAGAGTTTCTCCATATATTGGACCTCTGTAGTGAAAGGGTTAAGATGGCGATTAGGGCGAGACAAATGCGAGCGTATAAGACCTTTCTTTATTGCAACATAACTTAATTGAAATAGTAATTCTGTGCTTGACATCCAATCAATTGGTATTATAAAAATTGCGGATATGTCAAAATTCATCAAAGAACTTATTATAAAAATGTCTTCATATAGACAGGAGGCCCAGTCTGATGATTTTCCAACGGGTCGTTTTCTATAAAAAAATCACTTTATCACTTATTAGTATGTAGATGCGAATTCCTGTTGGATGTTTTATAAACAATAAGTAAATTTTTCATTCATTTAAATATGCTTTGTTCGTTTTCACCTTAATACATGTTTAAAAATATTTAAGTTTGTATGTATGTATGTATGTATTTCATATTACTTTTGTCTTTGTCCTTCATCTTATGTAAGTTTTGTCAATTTCAATTCTACATATATTCTAACTTTGCAATTCATTTGGCTTTTACTAAATTTGTTTGTATTTAAGTTCTATGCCTTGAAATATAATTTGTCACAAGTGCTTCTTTAACAAATCTTTAAATTTTCTTTTGTAGATATATTTGTTTTTAATTATAACTTAAAATATATTTCTTTCTTTTCTATATGCCACACTTCCTACGTTCCCTACACTTCTATCACAAATCAATACTCCCAACAACGTAAATATGTAAAAAAAAAAAAAAAAAATAAAAAAATGCACAACTGTACATAAAACCAGACAATGAGCATGAAAAAGACGAAGTCGGTCACACTGGTAGGTGTCTTATAAATATTTATGTTTAAGTGCAATAAATTCGGAAAGTAAATATTCATAAAAATTTATGCAAATTAATAATAGTTAATTGTTTACGCCGCGTAGTAATTTAAACAACGCCGCAGCAGTCAACGAGTTAAACAAAAAATAAATAAATACTTCAATAACTCGTATATGCAGCTTTTTTAAATTCAATTTTTTATACAAATGCAAAATTAATTTAATCGGCTTTACAATTTTCATTTGATTTTTTTTTTCTTTAGCCACGCGAACGTGTCATCGATATGTCGCCGGAGGATCAAAAGAAATGGGAAATGGAAGAAATGTCGAGATCAATCGATCTAGAACAGGCCAATGTAAATATCGATCCATCACCATTTCAGCTGGTCGAACGCACCTCAATACTCAAAGTGCATTCGCTGTTCTCAATGGTGGGCATAAATCACGCTTATGTGACGAAAATCGGACGTCTTGTGGGTGTTGTGGGACTGAAAGAGGTAAGTTCAATGTAATCCAATGGAAAAAAAATCACTAGTGCAGCAATCAAAAATTACATATCGTCGATGTTTTCGCAAAACCGCCCATCGACGAGAGATTTGATAACCCTGAGTTCTAGGCACCGAGATTCATCAAATCAATGACCTTTTTTGTACCCCTGTAAACTTTGAGTGTCGTAAGATAGGCGGTCTAAAATCTAAAATCTCAAGGTGGTAAAAATTTGTATTTTATCACGGGTTCAATAAGATGTTTGTTTAAGGCGACAAACCTCTAGAAATGGGCGTGGCAGTTAAGTTAACAAAATGCAGATTTGATTGCGGTTTTCGACAGAGAACCGTTGCAACATTTGTTGCAACATTTGTTTCGCATCTTCTTCTTAAATCGAGGAATCGTCTATGTAGAATTGGACGTTGCAGTTTTAAGACGAAATTTAAAAAATCTTATTGTGGCTTTCGGCAAAATAACTACATATCGAGCCCTAACCGCCAAAATAACGTAAGCGACAATTTTTTTAAAATTTTATTTTTGATGCAGAAATGCATCTAGATGCTCTAGGAATATTTCTGCATCAAAAAGAAAATTTTGAAAAAAGTGTCGCTTACGTTATTTTGGCGGTTAGGGCTCGATATGAAGTTATTTTGAAGAAAGCCCCAATAAAATTTTTTAACTTTCGTCTTAAAACTGCAACGCCTAGTTCTACATTGAAGATTCCTCGATTTAAAAAGAAGTTTGCGTGTATAGTGTATACTAATATCGTTTATTCCGCCACTTTTTTTTTCTTGTAACGCACTGTAAATTGGCCCTAAAGGTTTGGAGACCATCGCGGTTGCAAAGTTGTCTTTCTCGTAACACATCATTACACCAAAGAAAGAAGCCCATATTTCACTAAACTCGATCACTTTGCTTTCTCTTCCAGCTGCGCAAAGCTATTGAAGACATCAATAGCAATAATTTCGTAGTACAAAGTCAGGCAAAAGATGACGTAGAAGCCGATCACCGATCAGCGGCCGAGAAGCCATTGCTAACGCCACCTTTGCCGCCGTCGCCGCATGCCACGAGTGACAGAGAGGTCAATACGACAGTGACCTCTATGGATTCGGCGCTGTCACATTCGGATAATTGCTCCGATATTGAAATGGAACACATGAAGGGGGAGAGTAGTGGTGAGGAACAACACAACAACAACAACAACAGCTGCTGCAGCAACAACCACAACATAACCAACAAATCTACAATACAACAGGGACAAATACGCCAACAACAAATGGCACACCAACAAAATCAACAAATGAGCCATAGCAAGTACATATATATTGAATAGACATACATACATACAAATATACCTAGATACAGACATAAATGAATAGTCCACTTATGTACATATGTCTGAAGTGATTTTGTTAAAGAAAAGTTAACTGAGCTAAATTGTATTAAATTTAGTAGGTTAGTATTGTATTAAATAATTTTATTGTAGGTAGAAAGAAAAACTAAGCGAGTGATTTTTTTTTAATTTTAGCAATTAATGTATGTATGTAACTGTATTAGGAATTTGTAGCTTGTCGTAGCATATATTTTATTTCGTTAATACTTTATTGTTGCTGCTTATGAAAGCAAATTTTTTAAGAACTTTTAAAAAAAGAACTTTAGCACATTTCTGTTGTATGTAGTAAAATATAGATTTTAGTTTTCAAAATGTTTCGATTTCATATACATATTTGTATGACATCTTTATTACAACTCCGTCGGTTATTCGCTTAGATTTGAGTAAATAGTTAGAAAACGCGAAATAAAAATATCGGTAGTTCGGTTGCGATTTCGAGACTCTCAAGATTTTCCAAACTTTCAGGTTGTGAAAGTAACCCTTATAAACGAACCGGCCGCCCAACAGAGAAACGTTCGATTTGGCGACAGCGCGTTTTTGTACATTTTTCGTATCCTGAAACGTAAAGTTTTTTTTTCAAATTTACCTTAATTTTAAACTTCAAGTTGTTACTCGGTAATTTTATCAACTGTTGTTGTCCTTTTTAGCTAACTTTTTTGTCTGATAATCGCTGTTTATCAACAGCTGATTCGGGGCTTTTTTCCTACAAAAAAATAATTTTTTTTTGTTTTTGTTATTTTATGGCCTTATAACAAGTATATTCAACAATTTCAAGCTCAATAAAAATTCTTGAATACAAAAAAAATTTAACTGAAAATTAAAGAATTTTCGGTCGGAGTTAAATTGAACAGTTATCGAACAACTGATTGCAAGCCTTCCACCACGATAATTCGATAATTGGTAAACCGATAATAGAACAAATTTACACAAACAAAATACATGGGGAAAATTACCGAACACCGAGTTAACGANTTATGGCCTTATAACAAGTATATTCAACAATTTCAAGCTCAATAAAAATTTTTGAATACAAAATAAAAAAATTTAACTGAAAATTAAAGAATTTTCGGTCGGAGTTAAATTGAACAATTATCGAACAACTGATTGCAAGCCTTCCACCACGATAATTCGATAATTGGTAAACCGATAATAGAACAAATTTACACAAACAAATACGTGGGAAAAATTACCGTACACCGAGTTAACGTATACCAAGCTCTGTCTGAAGACCCCTGATAATTTTAAAATATTCAAACTGAACATTTGAAAACATGTATATTAGGATGGTCCTAAAAATGTCGACATCATTTTGTACAAAATACAGAATAAAGACTTCCATGAAAGTTAAAAAAAAATGCGGCCGCGACCAGTGTTTCCAACAAATTTAATTCTTTCTAAATCTTAAAAAATTTTCACTTGAACCTTGATAAATTTGACATATTTTTGACACTTATTCATATAAATCCGTTAACTCGCTGAGTTACAGCTGGTCAAAGTAAAATTTTTTATTTTTTTTTGGAATTTTTGCGATTTAAAGAAAATAAACTTTTTTTTAACTCTATTAACGAACNGCGACCAGTGTTTCCAACAAATTTAATTCTTTCTAAATCTTAAAAAATTTTCACTTGAACCTTGATAAATTTGACATATTTTTGACACTTATTCATATAAATCCGTTAACTCGCTGAGTTACAGCTGGTCAAAGTAAAATTTTTTATTTTTTTTGGAATTTTTGCGATTTAAAGAAAATAAACTTTTTTTTAATTCTATTAACGAAAATTTTTTTTTTCAATTTTGAAATTTTCGCGGATGTTCTACGAACAAAATAAAGGGGTACCCAATTTGTTGACATGTTTAAGAGCCACCCCAATGCACCAGACGAAACTTATTTGTTTCATAACAATTTTCCATACTTTTCCAGGCATATACACAATGCTGGGAAAACATATCAGAAAAAAGATCGAAAATGGAATCAGAAAACGGATGGAACAACCAATTTGTATATGAAATTGTTTCAATTCTCCGATACGTTTTCAGATAATTTGCTGGCTGGGTATGCTTTTAACATAAGAAACAAATTTTACCTTTTTTTAATTTTAATAATTCTCAGAGCCTTAGAGGCAAAAGTATGCTAAGTGAGCCTTTTTTGTAAACGTAATACGAATCCAGTTGGAATGATGTTAAGAAATTTTAAATTTCCTTTTGGTGCAGAAA